GCTCCCAGATTCTTCATCATGTTATCTCAGTCATCAGCCTTAACTCACTGGGGACACTCTGAGTGAAGTGTCTGTCATTTGTCCTGACTGCAGCCATGGTCCATCCCAGGCTCTTGGCCCTACTCAGGCCGGGTTCTGCCTCCAATTCAGCCCTGACTACCTTCACAGTGTAATTTCTGCTGACACTAAATATTTCTTCTATCTGCTGTGAGGCATGTCTGCAAAGAGGCAAGAGCTTCTGGTGCATGTAAATGGAGTTGCAGGTGATGCAGTATGAACCCAACTTGTTGGAACCAAGGGATGAGCTTTGCTGGTATTAAATGGAATGTCAGAAAGGTGTAAACCCTAGCCATTACCTGAAGTTCATGCTGCTTCCTTTCTATGTTTTCTTTGGTGTTGAGGGGGAGAAGGAAGAGGAGGAACAACAGCTTTGCTTTTTTTCCTGTTATATGTACATACTGGTTCTTTGCACTTGGGTAAACTACAACAAAAAGAGGAAAATAACTTCTAAGGGTTTATCTTTTCTTGGGCTGTTTTTACGGTCACGGGATCTCAGCAAAAATCTTTCTCAATCTGACAAGGCACAAACAGGCAAGATGATGTGCTTCCTGGAAAGAAAGGTGGTGCCTATTTCTACTTTAATAATTCCTTTTGACTTCTGTCTTTTTCATGAAATAGTTTTGGCTTTAATTTTAAATTTTAATTAAAATTTCAATTTTAAATTCAAAGCATAATACTTATATTTTAGTAAATGCTTCTAACAAAGAAACAGTATAGTAAGCAACACTTCTACCTTGTCCAACCTTTAACCTCTTTCATTGTTTTCCTTATCCCTAACTCACACTCCTCAGTCAGTTCCATTGGTTATTTTGAAAATTACTTTGCTTATGAAGCCACACCACACTGAAGAATTGCACTGCCAGTACATGAAGTCTTGTCACCATCTTCTCACAGTCATGGCTTGTTTGCTTCACATCCACATGGCCTTCTGTCTTGCCTTTTTGAATCTGGAGAGCTTGCTCTCCAGGTGGGTTTCTGTAAGCTCTCCTAGCTCTCTGTTTAATGCACAGGCTTATGAAATGTAGGAGCATTGTCTAAGTTGTCATGAATTTTGAGATTTAGTTGCACATAGTCAAAAGCATATCTTCCACTGAACAAATTCAGTGAAGCAAAAAAGCTTCTTTCTGTCTTGGTTCTTATACACTTCCCAGCAGGGCACAAGATTAAAGAATGCATACTCAGATTTGAAAAGAATTTCTAATTTATGTTCTTTCTCCATAAAATACAAGGCTTAATCCTTTCTTTAAAGCTTTATTTCTTCTGTTCTTGCATTTATTTTTTTTTTCATTTTTAACTAATTGAACAAACAGGCCCTAATTGAAAAAAAGCTGAGAGTGTTAAGCACTTAAGAATAGAAAACAGTTACTGGGCTGAAAAGTGCATGTTGAATATTGCTGGAAATTTTTATGTAGTTTCTTTGTGGGGCAAGAAATAAACCTCTTTGGCTGCTTGCTATTGTGATGGACTCCCACTGATTAAAATGCAAGTGCTTTCGCCTTGTTTTCCACAACGGTTCTTTTCCACGAGTGGTCTGTGTTTTGCCCTGAAAAGACAGCTGTGTAAGTAGCTTTTCTCAGAACAGGAGACAGTATTTTAAATGTTGAATTGTATTATTGATTTCCCCTTTAACAGGGGACAAAGAGGGAAGAAGAGGTAAGGCTACACTGCTAAACAGCTCAAATGCATTTCACTCTAATCTTCTGGTTGCTTAGTTTAAATTACCTATTACAAATCAGAGTGCAGAGGCAAGTTCTTGATATGATTTTTAGATTAATTCAGCAGAATCCTGCTGTTAATGCTGTAAAAGGTGCTGTAGAGCAGTTCAGCCAGCAACATTATGAGTTGAGGCATTAAAATTATCTTGGCTTATGACCTAAGGATTAAGAAACTACTTGTAATTCTACATTCCTTGCATATTCAGAATTCTCACTGACTTCAGTGAAAGTGGGGTATATTTAACTAATGCAGAATTAGGACCTGGTTATTATGACAGAATTCTTTGGGTATGGGCTAGCAGTAGTACAGCCATGGTAAGGTTGTTTAAGAATTCACCTTTGTCCCACTTTAATTTGCTTAAGTTTTTGCTGAATAGTAGATTTTGCAGAGTTTTCTGGTCCAGTATTTTTCAGTAGCCATAGATACTAATCTGAATACTTTTCAATAAGGCATCAATCAATCTGATTTAAAAGTAATTGAGTTGGTTTTAAAAATTCTGGAATTCAGAAAATAAACATTAAAATGTGTATTTTCTTTACTTTCTAATTATTTAACTTTGGGGTTTCTGGGGTGGCTTTTAGGTATTACAGAGCATATTTTGATTAAGTATACTTACGTATGCTGTTTAAGTGAGAGCGTTACAACTGTAACTCGAGTATTAGAAAATGTTGAATATTTACTGATGTATATAGCTTTGAAGGTAAATTCTGTACAAGTAAATAAAAAAAAATTCTGTACAAGTATACTAGATGTCCATAGCTATAAAGATGCATGTTATCTTTTAAGGAAAAACACTACTAAAGAGTAGTACAAGAAATAAAATTTTGGAGTAATACCTATACAGTTTTGGTCACCACCCCACATTTGGTATAAATTGTAATTACTGGCAACAGACACAGTCCTTTCTCCATCATGAACTGAGTGGACCATGAATACACCATGGATTAAATAGCTTGAACTTATTAATTCCACAAGAAACATTCTAGAAGCACTATCTCTCTGATGAAAAATATCAAATAAACTTTGACATATGAAATTTGCAAAAAATTCTCTCCTCTGATGAGGTTGTTGTTGCATAATGAAGAATATCAGACCTTTTGGTCCTTGAAATCAGTGTGCTTCCTGTGTAACCCTAAGAAAGGGCATGCTTTGAAAAGGTACTTCTCAAACCATTACATATTGGCACAGTTTAATCCTATTTCCTTTGGGATAAAGTATTCTACTTATATGTGTAAAAACTGTGTTTATATTAGAGGTTACATACAATTGAGTCGATTTGGCAGAAGAAAATAATTGCAGAAAGTGTGTAAATATTGTATCAAAATTAAGATAATTGCCCTTTTAGTATATTGTTCGGTGCATTTTTTGAGTGAAATTTGAACTTCTAAATTCAAGTCCAGGTTTTTCGCTAACCGATTTTCCTTCTTTCCTCTTCCTGTTGGCATTTTGGTTTTTGTCTCAGGCACTTCAAACTGAACACAGCTTAACATAAACAAGTAACACATTAAATTATGCCTTATGCTTTTGCTTTAATAAAACCACTTTAACCAGGCCCTTTAAATTATATCAGTGTCAGTTTGTCAAAATTGGAGCCAGTCAAGTTGTTGTTTTTTTTTTTCCAGGATAACAAAACTACGACATTTCTTTGGACACAGAGTTAGCATTTGTAGAGATGTTCTACTATATCTTGGCACGTTTGCATTTGCTTTGGGTACAAATGCTGCAGTCAGGAACTATAAAATGGATCTCTTACTGCCCATTTTGCTCTTGACAATGATCTAATGGCTTTTTAAATTTAAAAACAAACAAACAAAATAATAATAATAAAAAAAACACCAAGAAAGTTAAGGTTTGATTTTTAAAATAAAAAGTAGAGTGTACCAAGGGACCCTATGCCAGATAGCAGCTGGCCTTGTGTACATTTCCTGAGAATAATAAGGACCTCATATCCAGATTTGTAAAACACGGTGCTGAAAGTTTACAGTATCAACTATGACCTATGCACCATAAGTGAGAGTTTACTGAGAACTTAGTGCTTTTCTGTCTAGAATATCTTTGTATCTATGAAAAATGGCAGTCGGGTATTAATATTTTCAAATAACTGTGAGAAGAAATACTTCGTTAGTGTTTATAGAACAGCATGAATGTTTGTTTCAGTTTTTCAGTCCCAATTTGCATATTTATAAACAGGGTAGGACAGGACAGGAACGAAATACTCTTATTTCTGTGATAGAAATAGATACTTGTACAATGTTACTTATGATGTTACTATGTATAGAAAACAGGATGAAGCATGAATGATAATCTTGGCATGCATGGATTATGGTGAGGAAGAATCCTCAAAAAAGTTTCTTTCCCATTTCAACTTCCTGGTTTCAGAGCGTTCCTGGTTATTTATTCCATTTTTTCATAGTGTAATGGAGATCAGATTTTAGTCCTTTGTGAAATTCACAAAGAGCAAAATCTAAAACAACAGAATCTTCCTGGTAAGAATGTGATTTACACTACCACATCTCCATATTTGAAAGCCTATGATCTCAATTTGTAGTGTATCTCTGGCATGAAGTCCTGTAGAGAACAGAAATGTAGAAGTGAGATGTAGTTACACGTTCGGATTTTTTTTTTTTGAAGTTGGTATTCCTGCATATATTTTTTTAAATTCCTGAAAGGAAATAACTGATTCTTTACTTGACAAAAGGTTGTTTCGATTTTGCATGTCTATAAGAAGAAAAAAGTATTCAAGTGCATAGGACTTCTCTGAGGCTTAATGATAATAGTAGCCGCCTTAGCAGTGAACAACTTCTAGCAGAGAAAGCTGCATGATTACAGATGATAGCTTCAGTTACTTGAGGCTCAAAAGACAACACTTTAAAAAAGCCAGGGAGGAAGAGAAAGAAAGGAGTAAAACCAGAAAAAAATAAATAAAACATGCAAGCACAGTCTTCTAAAAGGAAGCAAAGAAAGAATTCCCAAAATGTTCATTTTTCCTCTAATAGTTTCCTTACCATATGGTTTTTGAATCAGTAGCAGCTGATGTATTCAGTAATAGTTCCTTTTGAAGGGACAAGTCATAATATTTACTTTCTCTACAGCAACAGAAATAGCTTCTGAGGCTGAAATGGCCATGCTAACTAAGACTGATGAAAACAAGAGACATTACCATGGTGAATGAATCTCTTGACACCATTATTTCAAGGATAAATAACATTCATTGCACTGTGCTTAATTTCAACTGAGATATTTGTGTCCTTAGGCATGGTGTTACCTAGAAAATAAGGTTACATTGTGTCATAGATCTCTAGAACATGAAAAGTATGAAGACCTCTGGAGATCTGTTATGAAAAGGAAAAAAAAGAGCAGGTTACATTTATCAAAAACAGAGGAATTAAAAAGCCATCTGTAAAGAGAGTTTTCACAATGAAATAGTGTGGTAGTCAGGGACAGTTACTTACCTCTTCCTTTTGTACTGCAATTTGATGCCGTCCTTTGTCCACTGTCCTAACAGAACTGACATCAGAATATTGATCACCCTGGAAAGGAGATGAAAAGTAAACTTTATTGAGACACTCAAGTAGTCTGTCTATATACAGAAATAGTCAAGTGTGTACAGTGTGACAAAAAAAAGTGAGAATTGTTCAAAGGGAATATAAGAAGCTCTCATGTGCGTCTGTCTGAGTAGCCTCATTCAGTTTCCCATGTGAACCAATGTGTAGATTTTTGCTCTGTATTGATATATCCTCTTTTCCATTGATTTCATTGCCTGTATAGCAGCATGTGTCTCTTCTTACTTAAAAGTACCCAAAGAGATGGATGTATTGGAAAACTGAAGTCAGATTAGGATATAGTCTATTAATCTTGTTCAATCCCTACACACACACAGAAAAGCATTATGTGCTGCTTAGTTAAAAGCTCTTAAAATCTGGGCCTTAAAGCTGTACACACTGACTAGTCCCATAAGTCTTGATAATTATATGAACTTCATTCTACATCCATTGAGTATAATAAGCCTTTTAATTTAAAGTAGGAAGTACAACAAAACTAAATAAAAAATTACTTTAGATTTTGTCATGGTCTGTAATTATCTTTTGTTTGCATTTTTATTTATGGATACTAGATTGTAAAATTTTAAGGAATCTATCAGAAAAAAAAATAAGTGAGGATATAGCAGGGAAGGGAATCTTCTATATTTTAAGAGGAATGAAAAAAAGATTAATTATCTCTGGACCAAATTGTCGTTGAAAGACTGGGCAAAGAAGTATCTACTATAATCTGTGTAACACTTATAAACATAATTTGTCATTGATTACTGGAACAATAAATTCCAAGACATTGTGTAATTTCATAAGCCTAACTATAAAAGCAAAAATTAATTCCAGCCAGCCTTTGCAGAGTTTTGTGGAAAATGTATGACCTTATATAAGCTAGTGCATTCACCAAAGCATTCAGCCACCACATTAGAAAATGTGCTCTGTTCAGATAGGCACTAAGGTGAAGTGCTGCTCTGAATGCCACATATTCCCCCAATTTAAACACTTCAAGGGTTAAAAGCACAGCACTTACTTTGCACTAGATGAACCTGGGCCTTTAAATCTCAGCTGTGACTGCAGCCTCCTTGTCAGTGAGCACCTGATGTCAGCAGTTTGAATGATGTCTGACACTAATTATGTGTCATTCACAAGATTGCCAGGCTGGAGGGTCTGGGGGTATAAAAAGCTATTTAAAAGGTTTTCATATGAGGTCTTACTCTCATTTTTTGAAAACACATCTTTTGCAGAGCAGCACCCTGCTAGTACTGTTGAAGAAGGAAAATGGTTAAAAGGCTATTAATTAATGCTTGAAATGCATTGTTCTTCTTTGAAAGCCACATAAGGAACAGCTTTTACATCCGTTTGTGTGATAAATACAAAGCTGCAGATGTATGACCTTGTCCTTGTCATACCGTGGTGCTGACACAGAAGAACCTACCTGGACAGCATTTCAAAGCATTCAAAATTAATTGACAGATGGACATTGTTAAATAATTAATGTGCTTTTTAGTTGCTAATGAATCTTAGAAAATGCTGCATGGCTATTGAATAATTCAAAGTTTTGTTTTGAGACCTTATGTAAATGCTACTCTAGATTTATTTTTTCCTACATAGTTTTTAAGAGTACCATTCCTTCCATTTGTACACTTGCATTCATGTGTGACAGGATTTCCTAAAATCTAAGAATGACTTCTATTTTTATTAAGATATCGCTCTTCGAAGTTTAATATTTAAAACTTTTACTTGTCATGCTTATGGTAAGTTTATGAATATTATAAAAGTAATTTGCTGTTGTAGCTGGGTATGGATGATACATTACATGAGTCGGTACAGTGTTCTGGAGTGGGTGTCCCTCTCTTCCTCCAAGTAACAAGTGTTGGGATGAAAGAAAATAACTTCCAAGTTGTGCCAGGGAAGGATTAGATTGGATATTAGAAAAAAATTCTTCACTGAAAAAGTTGTCTAGCATTGGAAGACACTTTTCATCTAAGTGGCAGAGTCATCATCCCTGGAGATATTGAGAAGACCTGTAGATGTGGTGCTTGGTGACATGGTTTAGTAGTTGATTTTGCACTGCTGGAGTAATGGTTGGACTTACTCTGAAGGGTCTTTTCTAACCAAAAGAATTCCATAGTTCTATGATTTTAAGTTTTTTGTATAAAATTTCATTAGAAGGGCACATGCTAGATGAAGAGTGCTTCACTTGTTCTCAGAATAGTGGTCCGAAGTAGTTAAACTAAATTTGTACTTTTAACAGGGACTAGTAGAGCTACAGATACTGAGACTATCCCATTGACAACAATCCAGCATTTGCTAGATTATTGCAGCATAAAAAGGTACACGGTGAATCAGCTGGATGCGAAGAAACATAAGAAGAAATGAAGGCATGTAGTTTATAATTACAATATAAGAAATTATACCTAGAAAGAAGTCTGAGTCGGAATTTAATCCTACCAACTATAACCAAAACCCTCTGTAGAATGCTGTGAAGAAATAAAAGCCTTAAAGAAGGCAAGGATGATCCTGGAATAGGTGAAAAAGGGAGTTTGATTATGTTACTTGAATACTTAACATTGATAACCACTGAAATAATGATCACGTATTTTTTATCCCAGATGAATGCAGAAGTAGTCAGAAGGGGACCCAATAATATAGTGTGAGAAGTTTTTAGAGTATGTGTCTATGTGGTCATGTGCAATCAGTCATAGATTAATGTGGGTTTGCCATGCATTGCCTGGAAAAAGAAAAAAAAAAAAAAAAAAAAAGAGCTAGGTCTGATTTGAACTATCTGTGAAACTGCTGGTTTTCTTACCTGTGTGGATGCAGTGGGGAAAACCCATCCCACATGATGTCATGAATCCTTGGACCACTCCAATTTAATGAAGTGCTTAATGAAGAAGTGGCATGGAAGGTGGAAATGTTGATTATTTTCTTTAGGTTTTCCATGGAAAGTTACTTTTGCTAGGGTAAAGTTTCTTATCTTGTCCTTTAAAATCAGCAAGGAATTTCTCCCCTCTGATATGTATCTTAGTTTCTGGGTGCACGTTTTTCTTCTTATTTTGCATCATGAGGTTGCCCGTGACTGAACAGGATACTAAGCTAAGTGAGCTGGTATTTTGAAACTCTGGGCATTTGGACCACCTCTGTGTGTACTTAGGGTTGGGTTGATTTCCCCCAAGTCAGATTGACAGAGATTTAAAGAGTTCTTCACCTTTCCATCAAGCACATGCCATATCTAACTTTCTGAGGTCATTTGAATGTAGCTCATGTGTTTCCCTGTATCAGAGCCTTTTGAGGGGCTCTCAGTCTCTTTTGCTTCTTGCCTGAGACATGTATTCAGCTTTACTGAAGAGCAAATGCATTCTGTCCCTGAAGTATCTATGTTTGTTAATGAGATATTGTGTGAACAATAGCTAGCTCTTGTACACAGAAAGCCAGCTGCTGAAATTTAATGGTTGTAGGCAGGCTAATGTTTAGCAAAGTCAAATCTAAAAAGGAAAACCACCCCTCTCCCAGTAAGTTTAGAGACAGACCAGATGAGGAACTTGAAATAAAATGTATTAATTTTAATATCCCATAAGTGTTTCCTCACACATGACAATGGAGAAGGGAAATGCTTATGCTTCATACTTCAGAAAATAAAAGATAATTCTTTGCCACATACGATAATGCTTAAAAATATTTGTGGATCACTGTATAACTGGTTCAGATGAAAAAACCCAAACTTGAGGACAGTAGCATTATCTTGTATACTGGATTGAACATTTCTGTAAAATCAAATATTGTTCAGGTGTCAGTATTTCTAAAAGTAATGAACTTCATTTCAATTTTGGGGGGGTTTGGAGTAGGTCTGAGAAAGCAAATACTTTTGATATGTATAAATTTTTTGGGAGAAGGTTAAATGATTTGATAACAGAAAATACCTAGAATCAAAAGTTACTTTTTGCATTGCTAGTAATGTTAATACAGCAGAAAAATTACAAAAGAAAATACACTGGTGCTGAAGCAAAATCAATTCAGACAGGAAAACTTGAATATATTTAATACCAGATAATATTAGATACTGAATTAAGAAGCTAGGCTGACTGTGTTTGACTTTTATATAAAGACTACATACTTTTCAGTGAATGGATCAGAGCTCAGACAGAGGTCTGCCAGAACATGTTCTACAATATTTGCTATGCTAGTGATCAACTGAGATGGTAAGAACAGTTTCTTTTGCAGAGAAAACTGACTAATTTCATAGTCATATGACCACTGGCTTACCTGCTACTGATATTGAAGTAGTCACACAGGTGTTACCATGCTCTTCTGTAGTTCAAGAGTTTGAATGTATTTCATAGAGAATTCCAGTCAGGGCTCAGACATGCATATTCCATCCAGCAGGGCTTTGTGTGTTGCACAGATATTTTATATAACCTATGAAATTATATTGTCATTTTACAGGAGGGTTGCCTGTTATGCTGAGCATCATGTCTGTGTTAACAAGGATGAACAGTGCACTCATGAGAATACAAACATTTTAAAGTCATAAGACTGCTTTTTTTTTCAGTTTTTTACCTTTCCCTGTAAATATATTGTTTCTTGCTTTTCATAATTGTCTTTATAAAAGGAGAAAGTAAACATGAATGTATTTTAAAAAGAACTTTGGGAAGTACAGAGAGGAAATTTTCTGTATGAGCTACTTAATGGTTTCAATTTGCATGCAGCAGTAAAAATAAAAGCTGAGTAACTGATTTCTGTATTGTGGTTTAGGAAAACATTGCACAATTAATTTCACACTTGCAAAAAATCTGGTTTAATCAGGATATGTTTAAGACTATTAAACAGATTCAGAATGCTAAAGGTATGCCATATACTTAGGTGACTGCAACAGTTAATATCTTAGAAAACTATGAGTTCCATTTCAGAAACATCTATGAACTACCTGAGTTTTTTCCCCCATAAGTGATCCTGTCTTGTCTGCGATACTTCCACTGAAATCTGTTTATCAGGATAGAGAGTGTGTTCTGTGTTGTTGAAAGGAGTATCTTTTCATTCCTTTTATCTTAAGTATCAAAGATTTCCAAGGCTTTAAGAAATTTGATTTATAGAAGAAACATTCATTAACTGTTGAGTAAAGATGGTATTTTTAGTAATACAGGCTTGTAGACTGTTTTGCTAGAATGACCTTTCCAGCAATATACAGCTATATTGCCTTGTGAATATGCCAGACAGTAATTCAAGGCTATGGAGGGAACTATCTTATCTTCCAGTTTATATTCTGCAATGCAGAAGTCTTCAGAAATAATAATTCTTAAATTCATATGTTAAGACTTCCCAGTTCTGCTATGTTAAGGCTCCCCAGTTCTGCTTACTTAAACATTTTTTTTGCCCACTTAAAATTAATGGTAATTTTACAGCCATATAAACAGTCATTTGCATGTTTAAGTTCATTTGCATACTTGAAAATTCAGTTTAATAACCTGCAAAATAAACACAAGAGTCATGCTTCTACAACTTGTTCATTGATCTGAGTTTTACCCTATAAAAATTAATGGTTTCTTGAGATACTACAATTATTCTTATGTACGGCATAGTTACAGTTATTAGAATGTATTAGAGTGTGTTCTTTCATGATGTTATTACAAAATAATAACTTGTCTGTGCAAGATAGGCTAATCAGTAGATTTCTTTCTAATTTTAACAGAGGCACTCTTGAATTATTTTGCTTTTCGAAAGTCATTATTTTGAAGCCTTAAAACTGAAAGAGTATATTTATATTAGATGTTAAGAAGAAATTCATTATTGTCAGGGTGCTGAGACACTGGCACAGGTTGCCCAGAGAAGTTGTCTCATCCCTGGAAATGTTCAAGCCAGGGCTGGATGGAGCACTGAGCAAACTGTTCTAGCAGTTCTGAGGTGCATGTGTAGGAATGCACTTCAGAAAATGTGTCAAGCCATGAAGCTTTTTATTTATATTCCATCCCTTTATCCAAAACCCATGAAACTCAAACCCGTGAAATGAATAACAGAGGTGGTTCATCC